TATATATATATATATATGTAAGTGATATAGTTAAGTAAATGAAAATTATGCATTCAATATCTACTCACAAAGCATACAATTTGACTATATTTTTGTTTTCATCAGCAACCTTTTCTTTTTCAGTGCTACAATAATATCCTACCTATATGTTGAAAAAAATCACACTACATAAATACTTTCGCTATTTTAGAATAAGGGTTATTTTAACTCATTTCATGTTTATTAAAAAAAATATATAAGTTATAATTTATTGAGTTATTCATATTTAGTAGATGTTTTTTAAGAATTGAGCAATATTAACTGGGATTGTTTTTTAATATGAGGGTATAATTGGTAACAATTTCCTGTAGTCTATATTAATTGAATTATTGAGAATTTTTTTTATAGTTCAAAATAAATACTGTAAATTTTTTAAAGTTTGAGAAATTGTTCAACCTTTTTCATATTTACCCTTTCTTTTAATAAAAGTCTTAATTATTTAATTGATTTAGACATCAATAATCAATAAATCGCTAAATTGATTAAGATATCATCATTATTTAATTTTTAAAAATGTGGTGTGAAAAATATTAAACTTGCAGTCTATTGTTTAAAAAATTGACTCACTGTTCAAATTAAATAATTATTTCAAAGTTTGAGTAATTGTTCAACCTTTTTCATATTTAACCTTTCTTTTAATAAAAGTCTTAATTATTTAATTGATTTAGACATCAATAATCAATAAATCGCTAAATTGATTGAGATATCATCATTATTTAATTTTTAAAAATGTGGTGTGAAAAATATTAAACTTGCAGTCCATTGTTTAAAAAATTGACTCACTGTTTGTATTTGTCTGAATTAGGACAGCCGACCAAATAAACCTTTGCGAAAGAACAAACGCAGAAAGAGTAAAAATTACGTGAATACATATCTTATTTTATCATAATATTTAAAATTCTCTATTATTTTTAAAAAATTACAAAATTTTCTCTCAAATACATCCTTATGCAGTTATCCTCTCTTTGATACATCTTTATCCCTCTCATATACATCTCTATTTCCTCTCGAATACATTCCTCTCATTAAGTAATATATCTTTCGCAATCCGTGAGTTATGTGTCTGCAGATTTCTGATAAATTCGAGATCATATAATTTTAAGGAATTTTGTAATTTGAGAAAAAAAAATAGGATGTAAAACTTTTACCACTATGTAATTTGTGTAATTTTTCAAATAAGAAATCTATAGTAC